CTATACAAACATCGTAAAAACATCCATCATCTAGACAGCAGAGATGAAAAAGAAGAATATCTTCAAGCTAAATTTTTGGAGAAAAAGAAAACAGAGAAGCCCAAGAAAAGCACTTCCACTAAGAAAAAGAAGATAACATTTGATCTACCCCCGAGCTGCATTCCAGTACCACCAACCACCTGGGTCCCACCTTTTGAGGCCCGCCGTCGGCCAACACTATCTACTACTAACTCGGATCAAGCCAATCTTTTTTCCACACCAGACTTTGATCTACTGAATTTAGATCTTGATAGAGTTACCCCTGCATTTATCAATGAAATTACAGAACCTTCACCTATCCAGGAAGAAGAAGATCCACTTGAAACTAGTACAGGGATTAAATAATCTCCTTTTAATTCACTACCATTTTTTAATCCCAGTATAGGGATTATTTTTCACTTAAAAATTTTTTTAATCCCAATCTAGGGATTATTTAATCTTAATTTATTTTTAAGGCGCATGCGCCTAATTTTGTATATATAACTAAACTTGTTCGGCTTATTTTTTATCATTATTGTCAAACCTACAGCTGATGAAGGGCGATTAACCCGAAACGCGTCCTGTTTTACAGTTTTTAATCTTCTACACACTGTTGCCTTGTTTGTTGCTGGGGATTCTACTTCTTGCATACTACACGGACCAGTTCCTATTCGTCCCCCGGATGCATCACTGAGATCCGAACTAGCCTGCACTGTCTTGGGCAATCTTCGGCCCTCTTTTTATTTTTCGAGTGTGGGGGTTTTATCGTCTTTTGCTTGGAATTGTGACTTCTAGAGGGTCCACAACCTTGGCATGACATACTTTTACACTATTTGAGTACAAGGAGCTGCCATTTTGTCAAGCAGCTTTGGTCCGATTTTAACAAAAATTGAACTCGACCGTCATTAGCGTGTAACGGTGATAAATTTAAAGGTTTTTTTAAAATTGGATAAAAATCGTGACCTATAAGAGAGTCCACAAGCTAAAAACGTGATTCTTCATACAATCAGGGGCCATAATCCAGGAAGTTACAATCTGATATGCGCTAATATCAATAGGAACCACGATCTTTGAAATATAAACATACATTCCAAGTTTCATCAAAATCGGATAAAAATTGTGACCTCTAGAGGGTCCACAACCTTGGTATTACATACTTTTACACTATTTGCATATAAGGAGCGTCTATTTTGTCGGGCAGTTGCGGTCAGATTTTTACGAAATTCAAACTCAACCTTCATTGATGTTTAACGGTGATATATTTAAATGCTTTTAAAAATGAAATACAAATTGTGATTTCTTTGTGATATAAATATAAATTTAAAGTTTCATCAAAATTGGATAAAAATTAATATACCATAATTTTAGACTATTTGCATACGAGAGGCGGCCATTTTGTCTGGCATTTTTTGTCCGATTTTCACGAACTTCGATTTCAACCATCAATAGGATGTAACGGTGATACATTCACACGTTTTTTCAAATTAGATAAAAATTGTGACCTCTAGAGGGACCACAAGCTAAAAACGTGACTTTGTGTACAATCAGGGGCCGTAATTCTGGAAGTTATGGTCTGAAATGCACAAATATCAAAAGGAACCAAAATCTTTGGCACATAAAGTAAATATATATTTTAAGTTTCATCAAAATCGGATTAAAATTGTGAGCTCTAGAGGGTCCACAAGTTAAAAACGTGATTTTCATACAATCTGGGGCCATAAACCATGAAGTTATGGTTCAATACATGCCAATATCGAAAGGAACCAAGATCTTTGGGAGATAGACCTATATTTCAAGTTTCGTCAAAATCAGACATTACGGTGTAACGGTGATAATAATTGTTAACTCTAGAGGGACCACAAGCTACAAACACGATTTTTCGTACAATCAGGGCCATAATACAGGAAGTTAAGATCTGATATGCCGAAATATCGAAAAGATCCAAGATCTTCGCTTTATAAACAAGCATTTCAAGTTTCATTAAAATCGATGAAAATTGTGACCTCTAGAGTGTCCACAAGTTAAAAACGTGATTTTTCATACAATCTGGAGCCATAATCCATGAAGGTATGGTCCGATACATGCCAATATCGAAAGGAACTGAGATCTTTGGGAGATAGACCTATATTTCAAGTTTCATCAAAACTGGATAAAAATTATGACCTGTAGAGTGTCCACAAACAAATTGTGGACGGACGCACGACAGGGGCGACGGCATAATAAGTCCACATGAAAATGTGGGCGTATAAAAATTAATAAAAGATACATAAATTTTATCAGTTGGTCATCTATAAATTTGGCCTAAACATTAGTTTGTTATGATAAGCTCCATATAGATTCAAATTCAAAAGATTTTACAGCAGCTATTCTAAACACAAGTACAACCACAAGAGATGGATTGAGAACAAGCTAAAAAGAAAGTATTTTTTCCTGCAATCAAGGGCCATAATTAAGAAAATTACAATTCGATATGCGCAAATATTGAAAGGAATCGAGATCTTTGGGTTATAAACTTATATTTCAAGTTTCAACAAAATCGGATAAAAATTGTGACCTCTATAGGGTCCACAACCTTGATATACCATATTTTTACGCTATTTGAGAACGAATGGCGGCCATTTTGTCGGTCAGTTTTGGGCCGATTTTCACGAAATTCGAACTCAGTCGTCCTTAGGGTGTTACAGTGATATAATAATAGTCTTTTTTTAAATCGGATAAAGTTATGACCTCTATAGGGTCCACAACCTAAAAACAGGATTTTTCGTACAATCAGGGGCCATAATTCAGGAAGTTACGTTCCGATATGCGCGAATATCGAAAGGAACCAAGATCTTTGGGTTATAAACTTACATTTCCAGTTTCAACAAAATCGGATAAAAATTATGACCTCTATAGGGTCCACAACCTTGATATACCATATTTTAACGCTATTTGAGAACGAAGGGCGGCCATTTTGTCTGTCAGTTTGGGGCTGATTTTCACAAAATTAGAACTCAGTCATCCTTACGGTGCATTGGTGACATAATAATACGTTTTTTTAATCGGATGGAAATTATGGCCTCTATAGGGTCCACAAGCTAATAACGTGATTTTTCGTACAATCAGGGGCCATAATTCAGGAAGTTACGGTCCGATATGCGCGAATATCACAAGGAACCAAGATCTTTGGGTTATAAACTTACATTTCAAGTTTCAACAAAATCGGATAAAAATTATGACCTCTATAGGGTCCACAACCTTGATATACCATATTTTAACGCTATTTGAGAACGAAGGGCGGCCATTTTGTCTGTCAGTTTGGGGCTGATTTTCACAAAATTAGAACTCAGTCATCCTTACGGTGCATTGGTGACATAATAATACGTTTTTTTAATCGGATGGAAATTATGGCCTCTATAGGGTCCACAAGCTAATAACGTGATTTTTCGTACAATCAGGGGCCATAATTCAGGAAGTTACGGTCCGATATGCGCGAATATCACAAGGAACCAAGATCTTTGGGTTATAAACTTACATTTCAAGTTTCAACAAAATCGGATAAAATATGTGACCTCTATAGGGTCCACAACCTTGATATACCATATTTTTACGCTATTTGAGAACGAAGGGCGGTCATTTTGTCTGTCAGTTTTGGGCTGATTTTCACAAAATTCGAACACAGCCGTTCTTATGGTGTAACAGTGATATAATAATACGATTTTTTAAATCGGATAAAAAATATGACCTCTATAGGGTCCACAAGCTAAAAACGTGATTTCGTACAATCGGGGGCCATAATTCAGGAAGTTACGGTCCGATATGCGCGAATTTCGAAAGGAACCAAGATCTTTATGGGTTATAAACTTACATTTCAAGTTTCAACAAAATCGGATAAAAATTGTGACCTCTATAGGGTCCACAACCTTGATATACCATATTTTTACGCTATTTGAGAACGAACGGTGGCCATTTTGTCTGTCAATTTTGGGCCGATTTTCACAAAATTTGAACTCGGCCATCCTTAGGGTGTAACGATGATATAATAATACGTTTTTTTAAATCGGATAAAAATTATGACTTCTATAGGGTCCACAAGCTAAAAACGAGATTTTTCGTACAATCAGGGGCCATAATTCAGGAAGTTATGGTCCGATATGCGCGAATATCGAAAGGAACCGAGATCTTTGGGTTATAAACTTACATTTCAAGTTTCAACAAAATCGGATAAAAATTGTGACCTCTATAGGGTCCACAAGCTAAAAACGTGATTTTTCGTACAAACAGGGGTGACGGCATAATACGTCCACATGAAAATGTGGGCGTATAAAAAGCACAAGTATCATTTAATAACTTGCTAGAACTAAAATACATTGTATGTATTTGCTCTGATTTCAATATACATGTACATTGTTAATTAATGCAAAACCATGCTAAACAGTATCATAAATACTGAATATATATTATTATTCAACTATTCTACAATGTATCAGTGAGCTCCCAATAACTGCCTGTCTATGGTTATGGTGTAATCGTTATCTAATCACCAAGTTACACATACATATCTATCAATGCGATTTATTTTTTAAAAGTGACTTGACACATATATAAGAATTAAATGGGACTGAAAGTTTGATAAAGAGTTTGTATGTATAGAGGGATGAGAGAAAACACACATAACACGGTTTAGAAATTACAAATTAAGGTGGATATTATCCTGTATCAAATAATTGCCATTTTGGATGTGGTAACCTGAAGACTTCATTAAAATGAAGGAAAGACGAAAACAATGCAAACTGTATGGATTCATGTTTCAACATTTATGAATGTATTTTTTTCACACAGAATGACGTTTTAAAATACTCCTGTGTTTTGATTGCCCAAAATGAATTAAAGACATTGGTGACTGGGTAAAAAGATAATTAATAACTGCTACTCTACATAGCGTGCACTGAACAAGGCAATTTAACTAGATAGAAGAGGCTATAGAGATTTGTTCTACATACAGTCATAAAGAGTTGTCTTGCCCCATCCACCACGGTTACTGGTGTTATATGCTGGGTTGTGACATTCTACAACAAGAACACTGACTAATTATACAAAAGTTCTCTCCCTTTAACCACACCTCCATAGTTACTTCCCTGTCTTCACATTTTTTTTTTTTTGTTAAAAAAAGATCTTATTTTGCAAACTTCATATCAGTAGCAATTAAAGACATAATTCTTTTACTCATCACAAAAACAAATATTCATTTTACATGTTGTCAAGAATCATCATCAACTGTTTTTGTTATCAGTTGATCAAAAATTGATTACAGCATCCTTCAACAAAGACAAGATAGGTTGCCAGGCAACGAAACATAGGCCCACAGCAGCTAAATCGACTGCACAGTCTACAAAGTTTGTTGCATATTTATTCTTTTGTACTTAATTGGGTATCATTTACAAGACACTAATATCAATTTCATACAATTTCATCAGATGATGATATCTTTTGTCATAGCGTTCACAAGGATCAACGAAGTGAAACTAGGACCATAACTTTTTAAGTTACATACGGAAATTGCTGCATTTCAATTGGTTTCTTTATTTTACCAATTTAAATAATACTTATAAATTTAATAAAGATAATTTTAGTCATTAGAGCATTTACAAAGTTCAAATCAGTAAAACAAGGGCCATTTAAAGCGACAATTTCATATTTTCTAAGAAAGTCAAAACATAATTATTTCTATGTCTTTTGCTAGGTTGTCAACTCACTATTATACGGTCATAGGTATCATTCTCACCATTCACCCCAGAAATAAAAACACAGCTATCTTCAAACGTTTGAATTTGAAGTTGAAAATGATATTTTTGCCAATTTCTGAACTGGCAATAGTGAACTATAGGATTAATAGGATTATTCTTTAACAAGGTAGGACTGTTTATAGATACCATCTATTTTAAGGCTTTATTTTAATACATTTTAAAAATATAACTTAAAAATATGAAATTATCGCTTTAAGTAATAAATGGAAATTGCTCAAATTCAATAGAATTCTTAAGAGCCACTTTCTGTAAGATTCAGGCAAAATTCAAGACTTTCTTTAGTGACCACCTTCAAATTCTCTAATTTCTCAACATATTGTACCCTTTAGTACTACAATCACAATTCTAAAAAAAAAATTGTTATTTTTGTTGGTTGCTGAGATATGGGAGCTTGAAAATTGACCCAAATTTTCAAAGATAGGTTGCCAGGCAATGAAACATACACCCACAGCAGTTAAATTGCCCGAGCAGTCGACAAGGGTTGTCGTTTATTTATTTCTTTCTAGGTCTTTACAAGACAGTTCCATACAGATCAGATTATAAATTTTGTCTCAACTCTGGAAGTTATCTACAGAAATTGTTGAAATATGACAGGCTTTTTCGTTTTACTAATTTAAATAATGCATATAAATTTCATACAGATCACATGATCACTGTTGTCATTTAAACGTTCACAATCGCCATAACTCTAGGAATTATTGACGGAAATTGCCGAAATTCAATAGACCACTGTTTCACAAATTTAAATGATGCATATCAATTTCATACATATCGGATGATAACTTTCATCAATCGAGCATTAACAATGTTCAAGGGGTGAGGCTACCCGAAAAATGCTTTCTGAAATTCTAAAGCTAGTGAATTGAAGATGGCACAAGTAGATAGGAAATGTAATATACAAGGGAAAACTAACATTAAAACGAAAGAAAAAAAAGTTGTTGCCAGGGTAACACATTTTTTTTGGAAAAGTATGAAAAACGTAGATACACCATATCTCTGGCACTAATAAAGATAAATGTCTCATTTTCGGACTGCTTATTCTTTAATGATAACCCCAAAACCAGACAGAGAGTTTTTCTCCATAACCTATAACTTTTATAGTTTCTTGGAAAATGGTGTTTGAAACATTTGCCTCACCACAATATTTTGTCTTTGGAGAAATATTTTGATAATTTTTGAAATATAAATATTTGGCGAAGATATCTTAATTAGTTACAGAGATATAGTGTACCTACGTTTTTCATAATTTTTTCCCAAAAAATGTGTTACCCTGACAACAACTTTTTTTTAAATGCTGGTTTTCCCTTGTTTATTACATTTCGTAACTACTTGTACCATTTTCAATTCAATAGCTTTAACATTTCAGAATAAAAAATTTCAGATAGCCTCCGCCCTTAACAAAGTGAAACAAGGGCCATAACTCTAGAAGTACTTATTGTAAATTGCTGTTATTCAATAGACTTCGTGGTTTCACTAATTTAAATGGCAGATATAAATTTCATACAGATCGGCAGATAACTTTTGAGGTTAGAGCATTCACAAAGTAAAACAAGGGCCATAACTCTAGAAGAAATAAACGGAAATTGCTGAAATTAAATGACAAATGTAAATTCAATAGGCTTCTTCGTTTCACTAATTTAAATCATGCGTATAAATTTCACAAAGATCGGGTGATAACTTTTGGCCTTAGAGCGTTTATAAGGTTCAATAAACTGAAAGAAGGGCCATAAACGGAAATTGCTGAAATTCAATAGGCTTCTTCATTTCAAGGACCATAATTCAGGAAGTTACGATCCGATATGCGCGAATATCGACAGGAACCAATATCTTTGGGTTATAAACATATATTTCAAGTTTCATCGAAATCGGATCAAAATTGTGACCTCTAGAGGGTCCACAACCTTGATTTACACTATTTGCGTACGAGGGGTGGCCATTTTGTCCAGCAGTTTTGGCCCGATTTTCATGAAATTTGAAGTCAACCAACATTACGGTGTAACGGTGATATATATAAATCAAATAATAATTGTGACCTCTAGAGGGACCACAAGCTAAAAACGCGATTTTTCGTACAATCAGGGGCCATAATTCAGTAAGTTAAAATTTGATATGCACAAAAATAGAAAGGAAACAAGATATTTGGGTTATAAACCTGCATTTCACATTTCATCAAACTCAGATGAAAATTGTGACCTCCAGAGGATCCACAACCCTGATACACATTATTTTGACACTATTTGCGAACGAGGGGCGGCCATTTTGTCCGTCAGTTTCGGTCCGATTTTTACGAAATTCTAAACTCAACCATCCTTAGGGTGTCACGGTGATATATTCAAATGTTTTTTTTTAAATCGGATAAAAATTGTGACCTCTATGGGGTCCACAAGCTAAAAATGCGTTTATGGGTGTAATTCAGGAAGTTATGGTCCGATATGCGCGAATATCGAAAGGAATCGATATCTGTAGGTTATAAACATACATTCCAAGTTTAAACCAAATCAGATAAAAATTGTGACCTCTACAGTGTTCACAAGCTAAACACATGAATTTTCGTACAATCAGGGGCCATAATCCATGATGTTACATTCAGATACATGCCAATATCGAAAGGAACCGAGATCTTAGGGTGATAAACCTATATTTCAAGTTTCATTGAAATCGGTTAAAAATTGTGACCTGTAGAGTGTTCACAAACAATTGTGGACGGACAGGGGCGACGACAATATACGTCCACATGAAAATGTAGGCGTATAAAAAAACACTAAAATTAAACCTAAACCATAAAACTATTATTTTTTAAATAGAAACCTATGGGATATTGAGCTACTTCTTAAAAAACTAATCTTTTGTAACATGTTTTTTTTTTACAAAAAAAACTTTACTTTGACCGTGAACTGTGCCCTGTGGCATATGTGACCTTGAGATGACCTTTTATTAAAAATTTAGCCCTGCACGTGTCCTACACAATATCAAAAATTGAAGGTATAATTTTAATTATTTGTCTGTAAAATCAAGGTCATTTCAAACTTACTTGAATATTGACCTATTTATTAAATTTTTAACTTTAAAAATAGAAGTGAACGCTTATAAGTCTAGTCTCCGGATCCACTCAGTTATTTAATATAATACTTTTGCTATTTATTGCTTGCAATGTCTGTAGGTTTGTCTTGTGGATTTCTGTTTGTGTGTGGTGTGGTCTTCCTGCATTTACTATAAGGTAAAATGGGGTGACTTTGACTTTGACATGCTTGTTGTTTTAATGTCAATTTTGAAAATTGTCAGCGCCAAGTAGTCATATTATGTTTGTATGGCGTGATGACCCATTACTTATGGAAGAATAACGTTGCCAATATTATTTCAATGTTGACTGTTCACGGTGCAAAATAAGTATTTTACTTTTACAATTTGCAATTTCTATTGCTCCACAATACCAATGTCACAGTGTTTAAATTCAGGTTACGCTTTTCAATACTACAAAATACGGTATAATAGTTATTTTGCACATTACATTTTGCATAATAGACAAATGCATAATAGAACTTAGCACATTATATTTGAGAACCTATACCTTATATGGAATCTCATTTGAATATGGAAAAAAATCTGGATTAGGACGGAAATTTACGCAATCAATCCACAAGGTCAATATCAGTAGATGGGAGCCGTGATCAGACTAGCATACAATAAGTCATCCTACAATAAGCCGACTTGCCATGTTATAAGGGCAGCTGTCTAGTCGTTCGGATGAGATAAAAAAAAAAGATAGGTTGCCAGGCAACAAAACATACGCCCACAGCAGCTAAATCGTCCGAGCAGTCGACAAGGGTTGTCACATATTTATTCTTTTGTAGGTAATTAGGGGAATTTAATAGACAATTTCATACAGATGACATTATAATTTTCGTCGTTTGAGGGTTCACAAGGTTCTAAAAACTAAAACAAGGGCCGTAACTCTGGAAGTAATCTACAGAAATTGTTCAAATATAAATTTCATACAGATCGGATAACTTTTGTCGTTCGAACGTTCACAAAGTTCAACAAAGTAAATCAAGGGCCATAACTCTAGACATCATAATTGATGGAAATTGCTGACATTCCATAGGCTTCTTCATTTCACTTATTTAAATGATGCATATGAATTTCATACAGATTAGGCGATAACTTTTGTCGTTCAAGCGTTCACAAGATTCAACAAAGTTAAAGAAGGGCCATAACTCTAGATGTAATTAATGGAAATTTGCTGAAACTCAATAGGCTTGTTCATTTTACTAATCTAAATGATACATATAAATTTCATACAGATCGGATAATAACTTTTGTTGTTTGAGCATTTACAAGGTACAACAACGTGAAACAAGGGCCATAACTCATGGCGTAATTAACAGAAATTGATGAAATTCAATAGGCTTCTTCGTTTCACTAATTTAAATGATGCATATTAATTTCAAACAGATCGGATGATAACTTTTGTCGTTACAGCGTTCACAAGGTGCAACAAAGTGAAACAAGGACCATAACTCCAAAAGAAATTAACGGAAGTTATTGAAATTAAATAGGCTTCTTCATCTCACCAAAGCAAACAACATATATCAATTTCAAAACAATCAGATGATAAATGTAGTAGAGTGTGCACAAGAAATTGTGGACGATGGACGGACGGGGGCGACGGCAATATACGACGACATTTCCATGTGGGCGTATAAAAAACAGAGGTCATGTGCAGGAAATATGGTAAGAAAAATAAATTGATTAGCAGTTTCTCTTGATTGAATAGCAAATAGCAAATTTTCACGGTATTGTATTGAACGATTTCTGTAGGCCATAATTTCTACCGGTATGGCCTACAATTGGCACACCTCGCAATTTTTCATATTCAATTCTCGTATAGTATTCAAATTTACGTCTGTAATATTCCTAGAAAATTAGGTGTTTTCGTAATACGCTAGAGTGAAAGCGTAACAACCGGTACGACCGGGTAAACAGGTACTTTTTTGTAATTTTTCAAAAGCTGTTCTCCAAAAGCCGTTTTTGAAAATTTGGGTCAATTTTCAAGCTCCCATATCTCGGCAACCGACAATTTTTTTTTTTAGAATTGTGATTGTAGTACTAAAAGGTACAATATGTTGAAAAAGTAGAGAATTTGAAGGTGGTCACTTCAGTGTCTTGACTGAATTTTACCGAAAGTGGCTCTTAAGTTCTTTGTTTTACTAATTTAAATAATGCATATCAATTTCATACAGATCGGATGATAACTTTAGGTTCAACTCTAGAAGTTATAAACAAAAATTGCTGAAATTCAATAGGCTACTTCCTTTTACTAATCTAAATAATGCATCAATTCATACAGATTGGCTGATAACTTTTGTCGTTGGAGCGTTCACAAGATTAAACAAAGTTAAACAAGGGCCATAACTCTAGAAGTTATTAATAGGCTTCTTCGTTTTACTAATTTAAATAAATTTAATTCAGATCGGTTAATAACTTTTGTTGTTATAGCATTCACAAGGTTCTACAAAGTGAAACAAGGACCATAACTCTAGAAGCAATTAACTCTGGAAACTGTTGAAATTCAATAGGCTTCTTTGTCTTACTATATTATACATTTCAAAAAGATCATATAATAATTGTAGTCTGTAGAGTGTTCACAAGAATTGTGGATGAACAGGTTGACGGACAGACGGTGGTATCGGCAATATACGATCACATTTCCATGGGGGCGTATAATAAAATTACCTGACTAATTAGTTGTGGCTGAATCTGCAATGTTGGCGCTGCTTGAGTTACCATGGGAACAGCACTTGGTCTATTTGGGGAATTCAATCCTGGGTGAAAAGAAACATAGTTCTAAAATCAGTGATGGAAAGCCTTTTGAATACTGTTCATAATCTAAGCCTTGTTACCTTGCTTGTTAAAATCTGTTTAAATCCTAGCTTTGTAGTATTAAGGCCATATAAAAAAAATGTTCTGTCTCTCAGACAATCCTGTGTCAATTAGAATCTCATTAATAACCGCAGATAAATCTTTTACCCTGATTGTTATAAAACAATTTGAAATGTGGAGACCCCAGTGATGGGATTTCAAAATTTTAATTGTCGGACATTTTCTTCCCGAAAATAAAGGGACATAACTCTTATCGTTATTTAAGCAGGCGTTTTCAAACCACAATTAAGAATCATGTGTCAACAAAATATTCAAATTCATACGTAATAAAAAAAATAGGTGCACCTCGTTATTTTTCACATTCAATTCCCGTACGGTATTCAAATTTATGTCAATAATATTCCTACAAAATTACATGACATCGTAATACCATAGAATGAAAGCGTGCCGACTACTGCCCATCCGTACCGGTTTCAATTCCCCCAAAATTACCGTATTTTTCGGGTCACAAGTCAATACATTTTTCAGCGAAGTCCGGCATTCGTCTTATACTCTGTTTCGATTTATATACGGAAGGTAAAAAAATGACATTCCGAAATTTATTTGACCGTAAACAGTAGTAAACGTCCCTCTATGATACGAGCCAGTGACACCAACTGCTAAAAAATCCCATTCGACTCTAAGCATGCGCTCTCGCCTAAAACAATTACCGTAACTACTTACGTTATTCCAATCGAAGTATTCATCAACATTTTTTAGCGTGTTTATTTATTTATTTAAAAACATAAACCCCATTCAAAATATGATCATAAATCCGACAATATGTCATCAAAATAGAATCTTTTCTCCCGACATCAGACGTATTAGATTCGGCACGTTTACACCTCTTAATTCCACGTGTCTCGCGAGATTTCTACTTTCATTTTGCGTGTGTGTGAAATAGCTTTATTTAACTTCGGCTTCCACTGAAGAAATATCACAGACAAGTTATCGGTAGGGCTGCAACGATTCACAACTACCTCGATTCGGTTCAATTATCGATTTTAACCATTTGATTCGATTATTTTCGATTCGATTATCAGCTACAATAGCCAGTAATTTTTCCTGTATATAATTCATTAAAAACAATGAAAACACAAGACTAAAATTCTCTTGAACACTTTTATTGGTTTGACAGGTTTGTTGTGTTTCCTGTTTTATGGGATATGTCAGTGTAGCATACTCTACAACTACCTCGATTCGGTTCGATTATCGATTTTAACCATTTGATTCGATTATTTTCGATTCGATTATCAGCTACAATAGCCAGTAATTTTTCCTGTATATAATTCATTAAAAACAATGAAAACACAAGACTAAAATTCTCTTGAACACTTTTATTGGTTTGACAGGTTTGTTGTGTTTCCTGTTTTATGGGATATGTCAGTGTAGCATACTCTACAAGTTGCCACATCTTTAGAGTTTTTTCTTACACCAAAATGATCCCAAACTTTAGATTTCAAATGACCAGGTGGTCGAGAAAGTACGTCGTCTGCCATAATTTTACCTTCCAGTCGTGTTTGCTTGACTACGGGTAATAATCGTTAAACACGAAAATATCCGAAGATAATGACCGGAATTATCAGCTAATGAGATCATTTAGAATTTATATAACAATTACCGAAGCTATTGACCTAAATTAACATCCAATGAACATTCGGTACGTCACCAATTTTAAATAAATTAACTTTCGTCAGCATACGGAAATTGTTTTAAAGGGGATTAAAACGTGAGACAATGGAGAAATCACGGGTTAATCACATAGATTAAGTTTATTGGATTGATATATAGTCTGACAAAGGCAAAGCAATGACTTCTGTTCAGGATTGAATTGATGAATTGTCCGACAAAGAATCAAGTAAGTCAATCAAGGCAGATTAAGTAGTTAATCAAGGTATGTGTATAGACCGTATAAAACGATAAATACGTTGATTACTTAATTACCTAATCAATCCAGCCTATTATCAACGATAATCGGGTTGAGTGGTAGTTATACACTCAGTACACTTTATTAATTTTCGAATTTTGAATATTATTTACCATGTCTTGATGTCCGATTCGGCATATTCCTGGTCGGACAATTTACGACGTTTGGAAAATAGCGTCGGACATGTCCAGAATATACGGGCAAAATCCCATCACTGCGCAACCCTGATAATGTTACTGATAATCATAAATGATACTGGATAATCATACATACCGTTAAACAACATAAGATAAATGTAGTGCCTTAAAATGTGATGTTTATGAAAGCCATTTAGCCTTGACATAATAAAAACCTCCATTCCGCATCATGTACTGACAATCATAAATGATACTGGATAATCATACATACCGTTAAACAACATAAGATAAATGTAGTGCCTTAAAATGTGATGTTTATGAAAGCCATTTAGCCTTGACATAATAAAAACACAAAAATAAAAACCTCCCTTCCGCATCAGATTTTTGGCATGGATTTTCTGAGAACCAGAATATTTATTTTGCATAGCCTAAATGCTATACACACTTTTGCTAAACTGCTTTAGGCCAGGGGAGGGGAGAGAGACAGACAGATGGGGTTTAATGTCCACTCGACACAAACCAGGTCATTTCGGGACTATCAATTTTATTTCGATAATTCGCTTGCACGTAGGGGTCTTTAGCAGTGGGAGGAAACCGGAGGACCCGGAGAAAACCCACAAGGTTGGACAGACGACCATAATCCTTGTCACGTACAAGCGGGGAATCCAAACCGCACCAGACCTAAAGATACAACACGTAGGCTACACGCTAACCCAAGCGCCCCCCCCCCTCCAGCATATTCCACACAGCCCCAAATTCCCCCCTTCCCCTCCCACCGGCAAAATCAGCATTACAAATATCTCAATGAAGGAGTATTTGGTATTTGTATCTTATATCTTTCCAGAGATAATTTATTGAAAATAGTAAACACTCACCTGAAAATCCTGCAGGTACAACCAAAGATGGAGGTATACACAGTGATTGACGGAAAGGATCAGTGCGACTAAACTGACCACTGTTACGTTGGCTTGTTGATTGGCCAAGAGGTTGAGCTACACTAGGTGGCTGATAAGACAAATAGGTTCCCGACTGGAGTGAGTACTGTAGATAAGGTAAGTCAGCAGCACTTTGAGCACTACTCGGTAAATTTTGGGAGGCCATCTAAAATAAAATATATATGGGTAAAGAAAAATATTTAATGTGGTATTTAAATTTCATTTGTTATATCAAAGATAGGTTGCCAGGCAACAAAATATACGACCACAGCAGCTAAATCGTCTGAGCAGTCGACAAGGGTTGTCGCATATTTATTCTTTTGTAGGTAATTAGGGGGAATTTAATAGACGATTTCATACAGATGACATTATAATTTTCGTCGTTTGAGGGTTCACAAGGTTCTAAAAACTAAAACAAGGGCCGTAACTCTGGAAGTAATATACAGAAATTGTTGAAATTCGACAGGCTTTTTCGTTTTACTAATTCAAATAATGCATATAAATTTCATACAGATCGGATGATAAATTTTGTTGTTCAAACGTTCAACAAAATAAAACAAGGGCCATAACTCTAGAACTAATTTACGGAAATTGATGAAATTCAATAGGTTACTTTGTTTTACTAATTTAAATGATGCATATAAATATATCATACAGATCGGTTGATAACTTTTGTCGTTAGAATGTTCACAAGGTGCAACAACGTGAAACAAGGGCCATAACTCAAGAAGAAATTAACGGAAGTTATTGAAATTAAATAGGCTTCTTCATCTCACTAATGCAAACAACATATTATCAGAGACATGGTTTAATTAAAACACCAAGTTACACCGTGTTTTCAACACCGAGGCAGTGCTATTGTTTCACGCGATATTCGCTCGGTGTTCACTCGGTAAATCACGGAATTCCACGATAAAAAACACGATAATATCGTGTTATGTCAAACAATTGCAACGGCCGAACTGTATGACCAATATGGCTGCGCCGGCAAAAGCAAAACACTGTGTCTAGGGCCATAATTTTTCTCGTTAGAATATCTGTTTTTTTAAATTTGAAAGATTGATTTTTAATAAAAATCTGACAGAATTTTCACCAAAATCTCAAAATCCGGAATTCTGAGAAAATCTGAAAGACTTTCATCACTGCATATATCAATTTCAAAACAAGCAGATGATAAATGTAGTCTGTAGAGTGTTCACAAGAAATTGTGGACGATGGACGGACCGATCTGTATGTGGCAGGGCTTCCACTTCAAAATCTTCACTGTTGTCATTTTTGATAGCGCACAACTTTGCAAAATATTCACTTGTCTATACCACTTTGCCAGCATGGTATACACAAAAAATTAAATTTTGGACTTAAAACTGAAATATAGGGAAGGCTTAAGATAGTTATTTATTAATGAAATATTCCCTTTTGGCTACTTAAATAATCAAAATAGCTGAATTGGACGTAGAAAATAAAAAAAAAAATCATCCCATGGTAACTTACACATATTACCACATGCTCTATAGAAAACACACTGACCTGGATAATTTTGAGTTGTAATACAATAACCTCGAAATAAAGATAAATATATAATTATCCATGGCATATTTCTCACATTTATCGGTTTTAGACAATCTCTTACAGCATTACGGACCACACAATTGTGACGTAAATCCTAATAATGAATAACTAAATAAATAACTTCACTGCTAGCGACACTAGATCGCTCCCTAAATATTATATTAGTTATTTATTAATGAAATATTCCCTTTTGGCTACTTAAATAATCAAAATAGCTGAATTGGACGTAGGAAAAAAAAGAAAATCATCCCATGGTAACTTACACATATTACCACGTGCTCTATAGAAAACACACTGACCTGGATAATTTTGAGTTGTAATACAATAACCTCGAAATGAAGATAAATATATAATTATCCACATTTCTCACATTTATCGGTTTTAGACAATCTCTTACGGCATTACGGACCACACAATTGTGACGTAAATCCTAATAATGAATAACTAAATAAATAACTTCACGGCTAGCGACACTAGATCGCTCCCTAAATATCGTTGTGTATAATACGAGTAACCATATATACACAACATTTTTGCAACACATGGAATTATCAATATTGCTACACCAGAGCACTGGAATACGTAATTTTTCGGTAAGCAAGTTAACTAATCTCTAGATTTAATTCTACAATACCCACAAGGCCGTAATGCTGCTGTAAAAATATTAAAATAATGCATTTTTCTCCCAACACGTATGTTGTAGAGGATGTATGTAATTTCTATGCTGCTTTTATTTAATATGACAGTTGGTTGGATTCGAAGAGCAGATGTCTGATTACCCGTTTTTCGAAGATCATAATCAACTCATTTACATCGTGAGTGACCGTAATAATGGTAAAGCGGCTTCGTTCTAGAAAATTCATATAACACAGGGGTGATCAAATTGTGCATTATGAACAATGGACCGCTTCATGCCTTTGGTAAGATTCCCACATATCACTTAACTTTTATTGTTCTACTGTCAGACACTCATCGTTACTTATCAACACAACCCTCAGTATAATCTGTTGACGACCATGTATACAAATCTATAACACCATTCATGAGATTATGTGGCTTCTATATGTGTGCGTTATTCTGTACTGGCCATACAATTTTATAGTTACATAAGGGAGGTTGATCATAGCCATGTTGAAAAATTCTCTTTTGAAAAAAGATGTTATTTTTAAGGCGTGCAAAATGACCGATGGGTCCGCCATTTTCCATAGCCCTAGGTCTTCACCGGCATATACGGCCGACATGGAACCCATGGTATGTGGTGTACTAAAAGACTATGGCACTACAACCTTTTTGTTAAAGTGCAAATCAGGGTTCTTAATTATGGTTTCACACTGCAAAGCTTGTCTGAAACACTATTGTTTTTGTTAAAATTATTCTTGTTATTGAAATCGCCGTTTTTTGAAATATTGCCGTAATATTATTAATTAACAATATCATCGGATTTTAACATTGGATACATTTTGACATAGCCAGAGACAAGGCACATAGCTACTGTTCTTTAGATTTTTGATTTACGACGAATCATTAGAGATATTAGAATTTTAACAAAAAACTTTTTTATTGATGAATATTTTACCCAGGGTTAAAGGCTCGTCTGATTTGAGCAAAAATGTGAACATTTTTTGTCTTGATAATTTTTCTTGGCCACTATTGGCTAATTGAGTTGATCGGTTCTAGGTTAATTATTTATTGCCCGATTTTTATAAAACAAAGTTCATAATGCTCCGTGGTCCAAAATGTCATTTTTTTGTTATAAAGTTCCCTTTCGGCAACGGAAGTGACGTAAATATAGCAAAAACTACAATTTTGACAGTTCGGTACCACTTTTTGAAAGCAAATATTATTTTTTTCAAATCTGGTATGACTGAAAGAGTGTTCCCTGTAAAGGTGCAGAAAATATCTGGCTCAGTTTTTTTAATTTCGATTTCGTTTTCGGGTCATTTCGATTTAAAGGTGAAACCAGCGGCTGCCAGGCAGGATTCAGCCATCCTTAGGGTGTAACGGTGATATAATAATACGGTTTTTTAAATTGGATAAAAATTATGACCTCTATAGGGTCCACAAGCTAAAAGATAGGTTGCCAGGCAACAAAACATACACCCACAGCAGCTATATTGTCCGGGCAGTCAACAAGAGTTGTCGCATATTTTTACTTTTTTCGGTAATGAAACATTTATAATACATTAAAATCTGATTAAGAGTAACAACTCATTAAGTAATTATCAGAAAACCATTAGCCCCATGCTAACGTTTGGTATACGAAACTTTTAACATCATGGATTGAGCTGTTCAATCAAGTAAAAAAGATTCATTGAAAATCAATATGCTTGTTTATCTCAAGACCTTAAACTCTGTGTATCAATCTGAAGTCAATCGGATGATAACTTTAGCCTCTAGAGCGTCACAAGATTTTTCAAAGTGATCAAGGGCCATAACTCTGGCAGTAATTATCCGAAATCACTGAAAATCAATAGGATTCTTCATCTCATGACCTTAAACACAGTGTATAAATTTAAAGTCAATCGGATATTAACTTTAGCCTATAGAGCGTCCACAATTGCGCCAGACAGACGGACAGGGGCGACAATAATATACGTCCACATTTCAATGTGTGCGTATAAAAATTGTGACCTCTACAGGATCTACAACCTTGATATACCATATTTTTACGTTATTTGAGTACGAGGGGTGGCCATTTTGTCCAATTTTTGGTCCAATTTTCACGAAATTCGAACTCAACCTTTATTATGGTGTTACGGTGATATATTCAAACTATTTTTAAAATCAGATAATAACTGTGACATTCAGAGGGACCACAAGCTAAAATAAAAGGTGATTTTTCGTATAATCAGGGGCCATAATTCAGGAAGTTACGATCCGATATGCGACAATATCGAAAGGAACCAAGATCTTTGGGTTGTAAACTTCCATTTCAAGTTTCGACAAAATCTGATAAAAATTGTGACCTCTACAGGGTACACAACCTTGATATACTATATTTTTACACTATTCGCGTACAAGCGGCGGCCATTTTGTCCAGCAATTTTGGTCCGATTTTCACAAAATTCAAACTCGACCTTCCTTACGGTGGAATGGCGATATAATCAAACGATTTTTTAAAATCGGATAATAATTATGACCTCCAGAGGCCCCACAAGCTAAAAAAGGTGATTTTTCGGACAATCAGGGACATAATTCAGGAAGTTACGTTCTGATATGCGCAAATATCGAAAGAAACCAAGATCTTTAGGTTATAAACATGCATTTCAAGTTTCATCAAATCGAATTAAAATTGTGACCTCTACAGGGTCCACAACCTTGATATTACATATTTTTACACTATTCGCGTACAAATGTCGGCCATTTGGTCCTATTTTAAGAAATTCGAACTAAACCTTCCTTACGGTGTAACGGTGATATAATCAAACGTTTTTTGTAAATCGGATAATAATTGTGACCTCCAGAGGGACCACAAGCTAAAAAAGGCGATTTTTCGGACAATAAGGGGTCATAATTCAGGAAGTTACGTTCCGATAGGCGCAAATATCAAAAGGAACCAAGATCTTTGGGTTATAAACATGCATGTCAAGTTTCATC